GAGCAGAATAGAAAACCCAGAAAAGGACCCACAACTGTATGGTCAACTAATCTTAGACAAAGCAGAAAACAATATCCAATGGAAAAAAGAAAATCTCTTCAACAAATGGTGTTGGGAAAACTGGACCACTTTCTTACACCATACACAAAAATAAATCCAAAATGGATGAAAGATTTAAATGAAACATCAAAATCCTAGAGGCAGCAATCTCTTTGACCTGAGCCATAGCAACTTCTTACTATTTTTTTTAAGATTTTATTTGAGAGAGAGAGAGCAAGAGAGAGAGCACAAGCAGGGAAGAGAGCGAGAAGCAGGTTTCCTGTGAGCAGGGAGCCCGATGTGGGGCTCAGTCCTAGGACCCTGAGATCATGACCTGAGCCAAAGGCAGACGCTTAATTGAGCCACCCAGGCACCCTCACAACTTCTTACTAGACACGTCTCTGGAGGCAAGGGAAACAAAAGCAAAAATGGACTATCAGGACTTCACCAAGATAAAAAGCTTCTGCACAGTGAATGAAACAGTAAATAAAACTAAAAGGCAGCCTATGGAATGGGAGAAGCTATTTGCAAATGACATATCTGATAAAACGTTAGGATCCAAAATCTAGAAAGAACTTAACAAACTCAATACCCGAAAACCAAATAATCCAGTTAAGAAATGGGCAGAAGACATGACTAGACATTTTTCCAAAGACATCCAGATCGCTAATGGGCACATGAAAAGATGCTCAACAACACTAATCATCAGGGAAATACAAATCAAAACCACGATGAGATATTTCACACCTGTCAGAATGGCTCAAATTGACAACACAGGAAACAACATGTTGACAAGGATGCAGAGAAAGGGGAACCCTCTTATACTGCAAATTGGTACAGCCACTCTGGAAAACAGTATGGAGTTTCCTCAAAAAGTTAAAAATAGAGCTACCCTATGACCCAGCAATTGCACTATTAGGTATTTACACAAAAGATATAAAAACACAGATTCAAAGGGGCACATGCACCCCCAATCTTTATAGCAGCACTATCCACAATAACCAAAATATGGAAAAAGCCCAAATGTCCATCAACTGATGAATGGATAAAGATGTGGTGTACACACACACAAAATAGAATATTACTCAGCCATCAGAAAGAATGAAATCTTGCCATTTGCAATGAGAAGGATGGAACTAGAGTGTATGATGCTAAGTGAAAGAAGTCAGTTACAGAAAGACAACTACCACATGATTTCACTCGTGGAACTTAAGAAACAAAACAGATGAACAAGGGGAAGGAGAAAAATAGAGAGAGGGAAACAAACCATAAGAGACTCAACTATAGAGAACAAACTGTTGATGGAGGGATGGGGGCAGGGGGCTAAATGGGTGTTGGGTATTAAGGAAGGCACTTGTAATGACAAGCACTGGGTATTATATGTAAGTGATGAATCACTAAATTTGAGTCCTGAAACCAATATTACACTATATGTTAACTGGAATTTAAATAAAAAATTTGAAAAAATATATTTAAAAGACATTTAATCCTCCGTGTCACATCATTGTGTTATTGATGCAATTTGTAAGTTGTTTTTTTCTTATATTCTGAAAACCATTTTGATTTGGCTTTACAATATGTTTGCAACTTGAAATTAATAAAAATCCTCATTGCTTAAAAAAATAAAATCTGCAATTCAGAAGTTTGTTATGTTGTCTATTCTTTCCTGTTCTCATTCTAGATTGTTAGATTTCACTTTTCTGTACTTGGCTCTTTCTACTATTGGAAAACTGCCAGTTGACATCTGTGGAGTTATTTGGGAAGGAATAGAAGCTTTCATGTTCGGGGCACCTGGGTGTCTCAGTTGGTTAAGCAACTGCCTTTGGCTCAGGTCATGATCCTGGAGTCCTGGGATTGAGTCCCGCATCGGGCTGCCTGCTGAGCAGGGAGTCTGCTTCTCCCTCTGACCCTCCTCCCTCTCATGCTCTCTCTTTCTCATTCTCTCTCTCAAATAAATAAATAAAATCTTTAAAAAAAAAAAAGCTATCATGTTCTAGAGGCCAGTGTTTTTATTACAAATGGGACTGAAATTGGAATACTTGAATAGAAACATTGTATTTAGTAATACAGGAACTAAATGAAATTGAAACTGTTCTCAGTCTTTATAACACTGTAACAGCAAGCCTTCCAAATTTTATTTGATCAGGCTCACATTTCAAACAATGGATTGAAATAGTGGTCTATACCCTTAATTTTGCTTACTTACCTTTCATTTTCCCCTCAACTGCAATGTAAAGCATGTACTATGTGCCACATGCCCCCAATGAATAAATATTCAGTACTTTTACTCCCCTTTTCTGTCTCTCTCTAAACCACTAACAGTGCCCTCTGGTCAAACCCAATGGACTGATGTTGCCATGGCATTACTGGACTTACGCAAGCATTGGGCACTGACCATTTCCTCACATGGGATCCAAAACCTCACATGTCTTGCGGTGCCTGTGTGGCTCAGTAGGTTAATTGTCCAAGTCTTGGTTTCAGCTCAGGTCGTGATCTCGGGGGCCTGGGATCGAGCCCCATGTTAGGCTCTGTGTTCAAGGCAGAGTGTGCTTGGGATTCTCTCCCTCTACAGGTGTGCTCTCTCTCTCTCAAATGAATAAATCTTTTTTAAAAGGGGCCATATGCACCCCAATGTTCATAGCAGCAATGTCTGCAATAGCCAAACTGTGGAAAGAGCCAAGATGCCCTTCAACAGATGAATGGATAAGGAAGATTTAGGCCATATATACAATGGAATATTAGCCATCAGAAAGGATGAATACCCAACTTTCCCATCAACATGGATGGGACTGGAGGAGATTATGCTAAGTGAAATAAGTCAAGCAGAGAAAGTCAATTATCATATGGTTTCACTTATTTGTGGAACTTAAGGAATAGCATGCAGGACATTAGGAGAAGGATGGGAAAAATGAAGGGGGGGGGAATTGGAGGGAGAGATGAACCATGAGACACTATGGACTCTGAGAAACAAACTGAGGGTTTTAGAGGGGAGGGGGTTGGGGGGATGGGTGAGCCCTGTGATGGGTATTCAGGAGGGCATGTACTGCATGGAGCACTGGGTGTTATACAAAAACAATGAATCGTGGATCACCACATCAAAAACTAATGATGTATTATTGTATTGTGACTAACATAATAAAATAAAAATAAATGATTGTAAATACAGACGGCATCTTATGCCTCTTGTGGCCTGAAAGGACAACAAAGTTTGTACTGAAAGGCAACCATCTGGGTCAGAGATTTTCAAGTTGACAGATATGCACATAACTTCATCTTGACCTTCTTTCTTTCACTAAACTCAGTATTCCTGTTCTGATTGTTATCCCCCTCTGTAATGACTCCCACAGAAAACAAAAATCCACCCCCCCCTGCATTTTCTCTCCACTGAGTTCTTTCCTCCATAGCTACACAAAAGAAAGGTGTCTAATCCAGACCTCTTTCATATGACAGTTTGTCAAATTTTGTGTACAATCATGGACATGTTTCTCTTTTGCAGGTTAAATATCCCCAGCCCCTTCGATTATGTAATAATTTATCACTATCCTAGTCACTCCTCGAAATTGGCCAATTGTGTCAGTGTCCCATAAGCACATGTCATCAATGCTGAACAGTGAGTCCAGAAATGTCCTAATTAATCCATTTCTCAGGCCTGAAAGGCTTTGTAATTATTCTTAACTAGTCACCTTCTGCATAACATTACCTTATCTACATATGGCACTTTACAGCAAGCACATTTTCCTTTTCTACTTCTCCCACCTCCATCCCTTCCTGGTTCAGGCCCTCAACCCCGGGCCTGCATCCTGTGTCTGTTTTTTGCTTCCTTGCCTGCTGCTGCCATCCCTGTACTCCTTACACAATACTGCCACATGTGCATCAGCAAACACACATTGAGCACCTGTGATGTGCAGTGCTCCTGCTTCAGGGCATCGTTTATGAGTAAGACAAGGCCTGTCCTTTTACTACAGAGGTGGCAGCCGTCATCTGACTCTACCAACATGTAGAGGTTGCATGCATGGATGCACACCCACGACTGAGGGTGGAAAGCAGCATTCCAGCACAGGTTAATGGAGATGGCATTTGACTAAACTTTTAAGAATGGTTGGAATTAAATGCAGAAGAGCATTCCAGGCTGAACTAGGGGCTAGGGCATGAGGGGTCTAAATGCACAGTGATTCAAGGGGGCTTCTGAGCAGAGCAGAGGGACAGAAGCTCTGGATGTGTAGCAGGATGAGCGGTACTAAGTGTTCTCCAAAGGAAGATCAGAGCAGGTAAAGAATGATCCTGAGAGCCATCCTTGAGAGCCTGCCTGTTCTGGATGATCCGCAGCCTTGAAGAAGGGGCTGTTGTGCTCGCAACTGCACTTCTACCTCTCAGTGGAAGACACTGAAGTCTCAACATTTGGACAAGGAGCTCTGCCTAGCAGCTCTTGAAGAGGCGGCTGGAAAGCAGACCAGGAGCATCCCCAACCCTGGCAGTGAGCCCTTGCGCGGGTCATTAATTTGCGAGAACCTCCTTGGCAGAGCTGTGGGGAGGATTAAGCGCGGTATTGGGTCCCAAGAGGCCACACTCAAGTGTGGCCTCACTAACTTACTACTGGGATGATTTGGGAGGGTGGCCCCCGCGATCGCTCCACGCCAGGAACCTGTTAGCCGGGAGGCGGCAGCAGCAGCGAGAACTCCCGTCCGCTTTCCCGCGGGCGTGCGCGAACAGCTGGAAGACTACCCTGAACACGCGGAACTCCGCCACAGCAGCCTGAGACCGTGCGCAGCGCCCTTTCCTCTGATTGGGCGGGACCAGCCGGGGGCGGGGGGAGCGGACAAAAGAGAAGGCAGAGATGGGTTAAGCATGGGAAGAAGGCGGAGCCTTGTCAGAGAGGGAGGCGGTTTTTGGCTCCCAGTGGTAGCCCTGCCCCCTTGCCGCGTTTTGGGCCAGGGCTGACGACGCTGAACAGTCAGGGGGGAGTTATTACGCCTTCTAGTAATCCCAGCAACCGGTGACGCGGCCCGCATGAGGCCGACCACTGGCCAGCCGGGGAAAGCGGGACTGGAGCGTGACTCCCTATCCCGAGGCGCCTTCCCAGCTCCCCCCAGTCGGCGGCCGCGCGCTCCGCCAGCCCCTTCCTCCCTTCAACGCCCTAGTCCCGAAGTCTGGGAGGCGGGGGTCGGCGAGCCCTCTGGGAACCGCGTGGCGTACAAGGAGCCAGTCGGCGACCGGTGAGGGGACTGAAGGGCTGGGAGGGCAGGGTTGGCGCGGGGCAGCGATCCCCAACTGTCGCCCGTCTTCTCCCCTTCGCTCCTGGCGGTTAGCGTCTGCAGCTGTCGGGAGCGCCGCCCCGGCGACAAGTGACGCGGAGGCACGGCGGAACGTGCGATTGGTCAGTTGACGCTCGCGGCCGCCAGGCGGCCTGCTCCTTCCAGGCCTTGCCCTCTGCCTGTCCTTCCCCGTCTTCCCCCGGTGACCTTCGGGGCCGGCGGCCCCACGACGCAGACATCGCCAGGCTAAGACGGCTTAAAAAGGGCAATGTCAGGCTTCGTCGGCGTTAATCGACCCCCACTGCTCACTACGTTTTTGGTGTGCTGGCGCCAAGGGCGAGGACCTGGGGTAGGACCGCGGGTGGGAAGTTTCGCCCAAGGAGAATCTGCCTAGCAACTCGTGACGACAGTTGACTGAGGCGCCCGGGATTGGCTGGGCTGCGACCTACTCAGGTGTGAGCACTTTCCCGTTCAGTACCAGGTAACAAGCCTTAAACTGAGTAACCAGGCTCCCAGATTACTCCGAAAGCTCCCGGGGTGTGGCGTGGGGCTACAGAATACCCACGCTGCTCTAACCATGTGAAGAAGGGTTCTCTGGGGGTCGGGGAAGGACTTAAAAAATTTGCAGAACGTTTAGGATCCTTAAGGTAGAGGTAGGAGTCAGACCCTGTATTCAGGATCCCTCTTCAGAGGAAGTGTCCTGAAGAGGGTAAAACCTAAAGACTCAGCAACCACAGTTCTCAGACTTACACATACTCTAACCTTCTTTTCATATAAAACATCCTAATAGCTTCCTTTACTGAGTTTTCCCAGGCAGGAGTGCCAGACACCTGACGTCCCCTGTCCAAGGTCACACGGCTAGTAAAGGAAGAACCAGAATTAGGACACTTGCCTCTGTGCTTCCCGTGCGGATGTTACAGTTCCATTTCAATAAACCAAAGCAGAGTATTTGCAGTATATGCAGTAGATATAGCTATGGAGGATAAGAGAGGCCTCCTCCTCCAATAACCTAATATTTGAAAGAATTGTATTCCCGATTAAAACGTCATTTTTAAAAAGCATTGAGTGCTCTCTGTGTGCCCAACGTCTTGCTAGGCCCAGGGAAGGTCCAAAACACCATGTGTTGTCCCTTCCCACATCCCAGTCCTGGGGTGCTCTGCCGCATTTGGGTTGCAGTTTTGCCCATGTGTCAAAGGAACATAGAAAACAGACTCTCTTACTATGTATGTTCTCTCCCTGCCAACATCCCCATCTTCTCCACACTTCCCAGTTCACAGGAAAATCTTGGTGAAGGCCAAACTTCCAAAAGAGTGTACTTGGATCATGATCAGGCTTGGGCACCTGGGATGGAAAGCAGCTGTCATTCCTATTTCCAGCAGTTCTTGACACATGCCAGCCTGGCTCTGAAGCTGAAACGGGCAACTCCTTTTGAAGTACTGGACCTTGTTTCTGTTAGGTCGGGAGTAGCCATTCTGGTGCTCTAGATTCCACACTCCACCCTTACCTAGAAAAGGGGCTGAAGCCTTCCTAGAATGGATTGGGACTACTATTCCCTGTTACTTTCATTGATTATTCAGAATAAAGCCAAGTAAGGGGATGGGGCTGTGGGGTGGGAAGGTGCTCAGCAGAGCTTGTCTGAGGAGGGGTTTTTGGAGCAGAGCCCCGAATGAAGAGGGGAAGGGACTTTACAGGTGGAACTATAAATGGAAAGGCCCCAAAGTAGGCAATTAATGTGAATAATACGTTTCATTTAACACAATATATTCAAAATACTACCATTTCAACATATAATCAACATTAAACATTATTGAGATATTTTGCATTCTTTTTTCATACTCTTTGAAATTAGGAGTGTATTTGACCCTTACAGCATATCAATTTGGACCAGCCACATTTCAAGTGCCCAGTGACATATGGCTCATGGCTACTGTAGTGCACAGTACATCTGGGACAGCCCTCAGCCCCACTCCTGCACCACTTTTACCCAGCTTTGGCTTCACAATGGAGGAATTGCAAGATGATCACTTGTCTCTTCATCCTGCCCCAGAAATACTGGCCTGGCAGAACAGATAACCAGGGAAGAAAATCTTTGTACTAACTGAAGGACACAACTCAGAAGAAAAAGAACTAAACTGCTCTCATGTTAGATTGTTAGTTAATGTACTAAATCCTGATTAATTACCATACTCTTGATCTGTAATATGTTAGATATGGTTAGATGTGGTATGAAATACCTGCAGTATCTTTATTAAGAAACAAAAGTAAAGTGATATATAAAACTCAATTTATTTTTAATCACTTATGAATGTTAACTTTTCATTAGCTTATCTTACTTAGTACCTGTTTTTAATTACATATATAGTATTTGTAAATATTTGTAAGTATTAAATGCTTGAAAAGTATGAAATATTTTATTTTTTTCTAAAATATTTTGAAGTATTGAACGATTAAGACTTTTCACCAACTCACACATAATTACCGCCTTCCCTCTTTCCAAGCCCTCCTGTACTTATTTTTTTTCCTCCTGTACTTACTTTTTTACTTAAAATGAACTTGGTAGTATAATAACTTGAAAACTCTCAATTGGGAAAGTGGTTAGGACAGTCTAGAAATTATTCCTTTTTTTTTTTACAGTAATATTTTATTATGTTTTTTCTTTCAGATTTCCTCCCAGGCATAGACCCCTATGCTTCCAGGACAAACTCCAGCATGGGGTGAGGTACAGAAGAGAGACTTGAGGGGTATACTCTGGCACTCAGTTACCAAACCTGCGCCCTAGATCAGGGTCTGTCTCACCACATCTGTAATGGGGAGAAATTGTATCTTTGTTTGTATGCCATTTATGTATGCATGTTTGTGTTTGTACATTTGTCTTACCTTCCTTAGGCCTGTGCCCTGGGAGGCAGAGGGTGGGTTCCCAGAAACTTGGCCTGAGAGGTGCCATGGTCCCTGGAGTCCCTCAAGTGAGGTGGAACCCTCACCAGCATGTGCATTGCTCTCTTTGACATTTGGATCAAACATTGAGTCCTGAGGGAAGGTTTGACTCACATGAGAGCAAACATTCTTTTGAACTGACAACCCAGAATAGAGCCCAAGTATCTGGGCTAAAAGTTCCCTCTGGAAGAACTGAGAGAATCTCTCTAAAGACTGCTTTCAGGTCTGCAGAGGGGTTCCTGCCCCTGCTTGCAGCTTTTGCTTAAACTCATTCTCTGTGAATGAGATGTCTGGGATTTAAAATACTGAAGACCAAAAAAAAAAAAAAAAACCAAACAAAAAACAAAAAGGAGAAAGAGAAAGTGTGTGGGAGAGGAGTGTGATAGATGAAACAGAATAGCAAAATGTAGATAGATGCTAAAGGTGAGGGAGTGATTTGTGATATTATTTAGTTTTTTATATTTGAAAATGTCCATTAAAACAATACCCTCCTCCCCCTCTTTCTCTCCCTGCCTCTGTCCCCTTTGCTCCATGTAAATTCATGTTTTCCCTCTTACTTCATCCCTGCAGGGTACAGAACATCCTGCTCCAAAGGCATGAGAAGAGAACATCCTGTATTGGCCATTCCTGCCCAGGGTAGAGAGGAGCAAAACTCCAGAGCCCACCCCTGAAGGTTTGTGGCTTTCAAGGCTTTTTTTCAATGGATCCCATTTATGGGGTGTTTTAACCAGAACTCTGGGTATTTACAATGTTTCCATCTACCAATAAGAAAACTACTGCTGACCATTTTGTTTGCTCCCTCTCCCTGACCTGTTGAGTGACACAGCCTATAACTCTTAGCAACTATATCTAATCTCCACTGAATTTAGCTGGGACCAGTCCATTAGCCTTGAGGAGAGTAGTCAGTGATGAGGCCCACAGGAGGTTCTATACAGAAAGGCTAATCCTGCTCCCAGACCGCTGCCTGGACCAACTTGTCAAGAGGATTCAGGGATAACATTTGAGATAAAGGGGATAGCAGATCAGATCCCATTCCCATAAAGGGGCTTCTCTACTACTCTGGGTTCTCAGATCCCTGGAGATAGGGCAATGAGAAAAGTCTGCAGAATATTTGCAAAGAACTTGGATGACCTGAGAATTAGGAAGGAATGCTTCTTCCTTCTCCGCAGGTTTCCTGAAAATGTGAAAAGCACTTCTAGGATAATGCCATTAACTTTTAATACTATTCTTTGTGGATTATTCATGTTCCTTTTTGCCCCTTTCCTGGGTCCTGAGTTTCTTTCTCAAGGCTAGGCCAGAGAACTTTGAGGCTGTGTCCTGGTGCGGAGTGATTATCAGGTACTGTCCAGAGCCAAGGTGCAATACTTTGGGGTCTCTTAGATAACCATCCCTTGCCCAGGCCCCAGCCCTTTCTGAGACTTTTGCCCAGACTGCTGCTTCTGTACAGGTTTATGCTTCATCTCATTGCCCTCCTTGTCCTTCCAGCTCAGATCTGGCTGGGTTCACATTGGTGACTTAGGAAACCAGGGTCTCAGAGGAAGGTGTTGATGTGGTTTAGGCCCAGGGGCCTTCTCATTGCCCATCCCCCCTTGGTGTTGCCTAGTGCATCTCCAGGCCAAGACCTCTGATCTAAGGACAGAAAACAGGCTGGGTACTCCTCATCCCCTGCCGAGCAGAGTTTTGGAAGCAGACTCCCTCTCTGAATCCCTCCTGCCCTTCCTGGTGGCATGAGGACCCCCCCCCAATATTTCTAGGAGTTTATGGCTTTGCCTCCTCTTGGAGAATGGAATCCAGGAGATGGCCTAGCTGAGGGAATTACAAGGAACAGGGGCCCTGTGCTTGCCTCTCCATTCCCCAAGGTGTAGGGGTTGCAGCTGTTACTGTGGCTTACAGTGACTTTCTCCGTGTAGAGCTCAGGGTGAAGGGTGAACCTGGCTGCAGCCCACCCTAGAAAAAGCTGCAGAGCCCCCCCACAAAAGAAGGAACCTGGAACCTGCAGACCCGTTTTCCAGGCCTTCCCTTCTTCCCTCTGCTACTCCCTTTGTAGGCCTTCAGAAAACTGAAAGCAGCGCGCAGTTTGAGGCGGCAGACCCCGGCGTGGGAGTGGCAAACTCCAGCCTGGATCCCGAGCGCCCCCCAGCCTAGCCCTCACCATGCTCGCTGCATCAGAGACGGTGGCGGCCGCGGCAGGAAGGCCTTACGTGTGCAGTGAGTGTGGCAAGAGCTTCCGCTACAGTTCGGTGCTGCTGCGCCACGAGCGTGCCCATGGCGGCGACAGCCGCTACCGCTGCCTTGACTGCGGTGAGCGCTACGCACTGGCAGCCGACCTCCGTGCACACCGATGCACCCACGCTGGCCAGACGCTCTACATCTGCAACGAGTGCGGCCAGAGCTTCCGTCACAGTGGCCGCCTTGACCTGCACCAGAGCACACACAGACAGCGCAGCCGCTCCTGCCCTTGCCGCACCTGTGGCCGCAGCTTCCCACACCTCTCGGCTCTGCTGCTGCACCGCCGCCGCCGGCATCCCCCCGAGCAGCCCTGCCGCTGTCCCCTGTGCGCCCGCGCCTTCCGTCAGAGCGCGCTGCGCTTCCACCAGGCGCGGGCACACCCGTGGGGGACACCTATCCAGCCTCTCGACCCGCTCCACCGCTGTGCACAGTGCCCACGGGCCTTCCACAGCTACGCAGGGCTGCGGAGCCACGCACGCGTCCACGCGGCCCAGAGCACTGGTGACGCCACAGCTGATCAGCCCAACGCTCTGGGTACACACCAGTGCAGTGTGTGCGGGAAGAGCTTTGGCAAGAGCTCCACACTAACACGACACCTGCAGACGCACTCAGGTGAGAAGCCTTTCAAGTGCCCGGAGTGTGGAAAGGGCTTCTTGGAGAGCGCCACGCTGGTGCGCCATCAGCGAACGCACACGGGTGAGAAGCCCTATGCGTGTGGGGACTGTGGGCGCCGCTTCAGCGAAAGTTCCACCCTGTTGCGCCACAGGCGGAGCCATCAGGGAGAGCGGCCACACGCATGCGCCACGTGTGGCAAGGGCTTCGGGCAGCGCTCCGACCTAGTGGTGCACCAGCGCATTCACACAGGTGAGAGGCCCTTCCCGTGCGCCGAGTGCGGCCGCCGCTTCAGCGACCGCTCTGACCTCACCAAGCACCGGCGCACACACACAGGTGAGAAGCCCTACCATTGTGAGTTGTGTGGCAAACGCTTCACATGCGTATCCAACCTCAACGTGCACCGACGCAACCACGCTGGGCACAAGCCCCACAAGTGCCCCGAGTGCGGCAAGGCCTTCAGTGTAGGCTCCAAGCTGGCGCTGCACCGCAAGACTCACCTGGGCGAGCGGCCGGCGGAATGTGCGGAGTGTGGCAAGTGTTTCAGCCACAGCCGCTCGCTCTCCCAGCACCAGCGGGCCCACACGCGCGCTCGGGCCGCCACCCAGGCCACCCAAGCCACCGCAGGGGCTGCACTCATCTTTGCTGGGCAGGCAGAACAGGAAAAGCTGGACTTTTTGTGTCCTAGTTGAGGGACACTTGCTGAGAAGCTTCTCTGTAGTAGGCTAGGCAAGTACAGATACATTGCCACAGGGAGGTGGGCACCTCCCGGATGGAGGTCTATGTAGACAGCGTGGCTGTCGGTCGCCTTTCCACATCTTCAATGGTAGCCCTTCACCTGGACGGCTGCCACGCTCCTACATCTACTTCCCTGGTCAGCTCTTCCTGTCCGCCAAACTCCCTGCCCTCCCCCTGGGGTGTAGGAAAACCTCCTAGACAGGGAAGAGAGCCCAGGTATTGGTATGTTCCCATTGCTACTGCTGTGCCCTCAGAGGTTTTCCTGTTTTCCGACCTGTGTTCTATCTTCTCTCGTCCCATTCCCCCTTTCCAGCCTGAGTCTCCTCTAGCTCTCCTTCCCTCGAACTTTTGTTGTCCTGCCTCTTCAGGTAATGATCACAGATGTGGCCACAAGGACAACCCACCCGCCTTGTGGTCTTCTTGCCCCTTGGTTCTACTTGAGTCTCTGCTGCTTTCTCCCTGGGCTCAGAGATGGGAAATTTGTAGGCAGAGAGATCATGGGACAGCTCATTTCAGTGAAAGACTTCTTGCCAGAAGCAACCAGCCTGCTCCCTGGCAGAGAAGGCCTACCCAGAGTGAAGCTGGGCAGGAACCCTCGGCAAAGCACCCACCTGTCCCATGGACAGACCTGATGATGTCCAGATCAAAGTGCCTCTCAGGGCAATATTCTCCAGCTGGGGGGGTGGGGGGCAGGGCATTAACTTCGGGACCTAGACTGAGACCACATGGGGTCTATAAAGCAGAGTATTGCCAAGTGGAGCATCAGAATGTTATTTCCAGAGAGAGGACTATGCCCCACACCTATGGTGCACTCAGGCATATTCTAGCAGAGCCTACTTCCGAAGGAATCAGGATTCCTGAGCTTCAGGTGTCAAAATACTCACTCTGCCCACACACGTCCATGTAAAATACTGGGTTTATTCTGTCCTTTAGGAAGACTAAAGTAGCCTGGCTTGGTTTTGCACCCACCCTGCACTCCCTGTGACCCTGGTTTCTGGGGACCAGGCACCTGGCACTTCTCTTTCTCACTCCTCTTCAGTCTCCAGGGTCTGGCTCCTCAGAGCTCAGGAATGCTCACTGCTGAGGGAGCACAGTCAGAGCCTGAGGAACCACAGAGGGCCTGGACTCATCACCAGACCTCAGGGTCACAGAGGCAGATATGCTGGGACAGGGCTCCAATGGGCCGGGTGACTCTTGTGGGGCTGGGAGGAGGGCTGGATGGCTTTTGCTGCAGTGAGCTGCAACACTGTCTGGCTTCTCAAAGCGCTTGCCGCAAAACTCACAGGGGAAGCGCAGAGTAGCGGCTGTCTCTGCGTGCTTGCGCCGGTGCCAGTTCAGGGAGGCCTTCTGGCGGCAGGTGAACCCGCAGATCTCACACCTGAGCCAGGGACAGCAGAGGGAAGGGCAGGGCTTCAGCCCATCTCGACTTCCCCAGGGGTTCCCCCTCCTTCTGCTGTGTCTTGCTGGTCCCCCTGGCAGCCCTACCTTCCCACCCATGCTCCCCCACACTCACTGCAGGGGTTTCTCTCCAGTGTGGATGCGCCGGTGGATGACAAGGTTGCTGCTGGTGCGGAAAGACCGAGCACAGAACTCACAGATGTAGTCCCGGGTGTCTGCGGGTTCACAGGGGTCACCCCAGCATCCATCCCCAGGCCATGGCCCCTCCTCAGCCCAGCCCACCTGTCAACCCTCACAGGAGTACTGTCCCAAATTCAACCTGCTTATCCCACCCCTCCCAGCCCCCAGCAGTGCCCTGTGGCTGTCAATCTGTTCCATTTTCCCTTACCTGCCTCCCTACCAGCACTAACCACCTGCCCTCTGTGCTTCCCCTGCCACAGACCTGCTGTGGATTCTCCCCTCTACCTCCAAGTCTCAGGGCAGGCCATACACGAGGCATCCCTGTGGCTCATGGCACCCTTTACACATCTGTCTCACAACCCCTTGGGAACCCATCATTACACCACCACATTCCCCAAATCTCTGACTCCAGGCCCTCTCCTCAGCCATTACTCGTGCTACTGCTTTGTTTTCTACACGTCCAGCACCCCACATTTCTGTTCCCTGACCTTCACTGACCTGGTCTCCCACCCTTCTCAGCCACCACTCCCAGGTCATGCCCCATCACTGCACCTCCCTGAAACTGCAGTTTCAGCAAGGGCCTTCTTCATCCTGCTACAATAAGCCTGGGACTCCACGCTGCCAGTCCAGCAGCCCGCTGCCTTCCCACTGTCCCCCTCCACACTCCTCTCCTAGGTCCCTTTCCAGGGCATCTTTGTAGCCTCCCTTCGCTCACACTACGAATTCACTGGCTGCTCTCTAGCTGTACCTGTTCGGTTAAAATCCAGCTCAAAGTAAACACAACTCTTGGCCTGTTCCAGGAATACAGAGGTGTGGTAAGGGGAGCAGAAACACAACCCACAATCTGTTCACCTACACCTTGGCCTCTCCTTTTCATCCACAACCACAAGTCCCAAGGGCCCACCATAAGCCTCTGCATTTTCTTGGTCAGTTCACTCTGCCACTCTCAGGAGCCCAGAAGGCCATTTTCCATACCACCTCCTCTCTCTGCTAGCTCATTCAGCGGGGACCTCATTTTTCAAGTCACCAAGAAGAGAGAAGCCAGGAGAGAATAACCACATAGTCCCCCCCACCTAATCCCTCAGCCAACTTGCTTCTGTGCCCATATATGTGACTATTCCTTGCTCCACTGCAGTCGCCCTCCAGCTGTGCAGAGATATACTGCTTCTCCCTGACCGGAGGTTCCCCCCACCCCCCAACCTAGGCATCAGGAAGCCTTTTCTCTCAGTGGGATCATTCCCTTCTGTACCCCCAAACCCACAGCCCTCCAGCTAAGACCCCCTTTTTCTACTTGTCTTCACAGCAACACTCCAGAGAGTGGTCCATACTCACTATCTCTACTTCCCCAGCTCCTCCCTGCCTTGAACCCACTCCATTCTGGCTGTCCTCCCTTGTCATCTAGTCAAAGGTGGCTTCCCACCACGTCCAGCGGCCTGTCCTCATGTTGCTCAGTCTTGTTGCATTAGCACAACCCACCCTCCCCTCCCCACTAGAGCACTCTCTCCACTTGGCTCCTCAAATACTGCTGTCTTCATCTGCCTCACTGGCCGCTTGGGAGCTGCCCTTCCTGCCTGCCCTGTTCAGAACTCCTTTCTACCAATGCTCACTCCATGTAGCTACATTCCACCTTCACTCCAAATACCACCCATGTGTTTGTGATGAACACATTTTTTTCCCCCAAACATCTCTGGAATCCAGAGTCACATCTTGTGGGATGCCTAAATTAGCATGTCCCAAATAAAATGTCCCTTTCCTAAAGCCCGCCTCTCCCCCTTTTCAGGAAATCTCATCACCTCTGCCCAGGTGCTCAGGCTGGAATCCTTCAAGTCAGCCTCGACGCCCTCCTGCCCATCCACCTGTGGCCAGTCTGTCCTCACAGCAGCCTCCTGCCTCCACCTTCATGCTCACATAAGCCTCTAGCCACTCCCCCCAACCGACTCAAATGGACCAGCATGTCAAGGCTGCTCTCCCTGCACGCTGCACACACCTACAGTCCCATTTGTCTACATGGCAGTCACTTTGCTCCTTTTAAAGTCAGTTGTGTCCTTCTGCTATACAAGATGCTGAGATGCTGCCCATCTCATCTGGCCAGAAGCCAAGCCATGCTGTTGGTAGTCTTGGAGGCCCCCACCACTGTCTGACCTCTTTTCCTCCCTTTCTAACTTCCAGGCCTCCTCTCCCTCCCTTCCTGGAACATGCCACACAGAAGCCAGCTCAGGGCCTTTCCAGTGCTGCCCATAGACATGGACAAGGCTCCATTCCTCCCTTCACTTAGGTCTTTGCTTAGGGCACCTTCCCTTTCTACCAGAGAGACTCCTTCCTCATGCTCTCCTTCCCCCTCTGGGCTTTCACATGTCTATATCCCTGTTATCACTAGAGTGGACGTCATATGAAGTAAGGACTGCCCTCTGTTCCCTGTTGTATCTCAGCACCTAGAACAGTCTCAAGCAGGCAGGTGCTCACACAGAGAACTGAGGGTGAGAGTCATCCCACAAGGGAGGTGAAGGGACCCCCAGGGGGAGCTGACAGGACCCACATGGAGAAGTGAAGGCACCCACAGGGGGAGGTGAAGACATCCTCGCTCCCAGCGAGAGGTGAAGGCACCCACAGGAGGCATCTCTACCACTCACCACTGTGCAGTTTAACATGCTCCTTCAGGTGTTTCTTAAAGTTGAAGGACTTCCCACAGGCTGGCTCTGGGCAGGAAAAGGACTTTTGGTGGATGTGCTGGTACTTCTTGTGGTGCTAGGAAAGGAAACAGGTGGTGTCAGGGAAACCACCCGAGCTGGCCCAGCAGGCAGGCTCCTCTGCCCCCCCGTTTCCCCACAGCAGTTCTCTCACCACTAGCTCACATCATCCTGGTCAGTCCTAATCTGAGTGCAGGCACCCCCTCCTGTCCTGACACCAAACTCTGCCCTCATCCTATTCTGTCCTTGATTTGCATTATCTCACATTTTTGCCACAACCTTCCTTACAAACCCCAGTTCCCTGAACAAAGTGCCATTCTGGTGACACTCTTGGTTCCCTAACCATGGAGCTGCTGTCTGCTGCGAATAAGAACACAATTTGGGTAGGTATGATTATCCTCTTCAATATCAGTGTACAATAATATTGCCCAGATTGCCTACTTCATTAATAGCTCATCACGGGTACATATTATATGATGTTTTCCTAAACCTGCTTTGGAAACACACACACACACACACACACACACACACACACACACACACACACACACGCACGCTCTCAACCTGGAACACTTTTAAGGATAGTCTGTTCTTTCACTCCCTGAGTATGTCTGGGAAATAGTTCTCCTGTCTGATCTAATTTTACATCCTGGCTCTGTAAACTGCATGGGCTTTCCCCTTTTCTATAATCCCACTTTCCCATAGTTAAACTGCTGCTTGAGGCTGCTTCAGTCTTCTTCATTAACAGGCTCCTGTGTGTTTCCCTAGCCCCACTAAAGTTCTTATCCCAGAGCTTTCCTACCCTTGTTTGCTCTCCCAAATCCCATACACCCTTGCTTCACCATTCCTTTGGTCTGGGCTCTCCCTCAACTTCAGGACGTGGTCTGGGAGGGCTCTGGATAAGTGTGGGGGCCATGGTCCTTCCCTCTTTGTGTCTCAAACCTTTCCTGCAGTGAGGCTGAATCTTCTGGTTCTCTGGCTCTAGAACTACCCACTCCTGCCAGCAGGGCCAGGTGGCTGAGGGTGGACTCTGGAACCCCAGCACTACCACACACTAGCCTTCTGTGTGCCTCAGTTGCCTCATCTGCAGAAGGAACAGTATCAGTACCTACTCCCTAGGGATGTTTTGAAGATCAAAAGACTTGACCCACATCAGGTGCTTAGAACAGTTGCTAGCATTCCAAGAGCCTGAGGAATGCCATCGTTATCTCCATATTACCCTTGCAGGGCCCATGCAACCAGCAGTCGTGGACAGCAGCTGTGCACCTGAGGCTTGGTTTTCTGCCTTATCTACCAGTTGTCTGGCTTAGTGATTATTAACTGTAGGTAAGCTCTGCAGGTCCACCCCAACCCTTCTCTTCCTATCTCCAAATCCACCCACACCCCAAGCTTCTTTGCTTCAGCTTCTCCTTCACCTCAGCATCTCCTTAAGCCCTTTTCATATACCTCTGAAGCCACACAGAACCCAGTCTATGCCCCTCATGTCCTCACATTCAAATACTGCCGATTGGAGAAGATCCTTCCACAGC